ATATATATATATATATATATATATATATATATATATATTGTTACTGATTGCAACCACGCAGTCTTTCATCAAACTCTTCAAGAAAAAAATAACAATAATAATAAAAATCGTTATTCTATCAAAAGATTATAAGACACGATCTATACAGCAATAGATCATAATCCGTAAACGCTTAAGAATTACGCAGAATCCCGAATTTAGGAATGATCCGAAACAAAATATGAACAGTTCACTTTTTAAAAATTAAAATTTAAGTTCTTATCAAGGAAAAATAGAATAATTCATTTGTTTAAAGACACGCTTGTGGAAATCTGTGACAATATAACGATTTTGAAGAAATCCTGGCATCTTTATGATAATAATAATACAATAGTATTATATAATTGATGATATCATGGTCTTGCTATCGGGTAATTAAAAAAAAAAAAAGCTAAAAATCCTGTAATATTATTATTGTTATTTTGCTTACAAGGACAATGACGATTTATTGGTATGACACTTCTTAAATAAAAGGTTTTTTATAATTTTGCATCTAATATTTTTTCTTCAACGTCCCAAAGTTTTGGGTGTGGCGTTTCCGTTTCAAGACTGCATTGTAGACAAATTGAAGGCTTCACCAGGCGACGCGCAAAGGATGGTGTGCATCAGAGGGAAAAAATTTAAACAAATAAAAAATTATTGTCTTTCCAAAAAATTAATAAATAATAAAAATAATAAATAAAATAAAATAATAAGAAGAAATCAGCCAGTCTGTTTCGAGGTAAAGAGACGTACACGTTTCTTGACAAACTAAATGCAAATATTTTATTTTTAATATTTTGAGATAAACATAAACGGTTTGTCGCAGCAACCCACCAGCAAAGAAAGCCCCAAACAGCCATAAATATGATAGATAATAATACTAATAATAAGGAAGTTCATTAACAAAAACACGCTTCCATAATTCAGGCTTGAAGCGCGGTACAAAGCCAACCATATTTGACAATTTATATTTTTTCACAAATAAAATACAAAACGCAGCAATACAAAATCTACATTGAGGAATGTAAGTAAACTGGAAATAAGGAGGTGGACTACATCACCCCAGCAGTTGAGTGCGAAAAAGATGTGTTTTCAAATTAGTTTTGAAAGACTGCATCGTCTGGCTGCTTCTGAGAGCGACAGAGAGGGTCAGCGAAGGCGAAAGTGCGCCTTCAATAGGTCTCAGGGCGGTCTCGTGGTATCCAGAGTTCGGATGAACGAAGTGATCTAGTGGGTGCATAAGGTACATAGGATAAACGGGGAGGCTTGCTTTCAGTTTGAAGCTATATGAAATATACACATGGTAGAGGAAAGCATGAAAAGGACAGTCCCAAAATTATTACATTTTGGGGGGGATTTAAAATGGACGTTTCGGCCAAAAAGCCTTCGACATCAAAACTACAGAGACAGACAAACTCAACTTGTAGATATTATGTAGTTGAAAGGTAATGGTCTACTTAGCTAACCCTGCAACTGTTACAAGAAATCAAGGAATTCGCTTATGAGATTTACATGAAACAATTAACATACGAGGAAATAACCCTAAATACAATGGGTTCATCAAATTTCTTATTTGTTTCTCGTAGTCCATTGACCACTTCAGTGTGGACGTGGGGGAAATGTTCTTCTTTTCTTTGATTTAGCTTTGTCTTAACCTTGTCAGTAATGTTTGTCCATGACAAACTTAGAATACCATTCGCAAACTTCGCCTACAACCGCAAGACCAACCCATCATGGGCTATAATTCCCCGGAATGCATTCATTTTCTTTAGGGCTCCTCATCTCGATGTGGAGGCGAAATAAAATAGCAATTTTATGGCTACGAATACGGACTCGCTTAGACAACAAAAAAAAAATTTTAAAAAATAAGGGACTCCCCGACTCCATTTTAGATGTAAAATTCCCCGGTTGATCCGTTTATAATTTGAGACTCCAAAATTCTAAGAATCAATCCTTTTTAACATTTCAACTCAACCGGTGGGGAACTTTGATGACGCCATTTCTCAAACAAACAAAAAACACACACAAAAAACAACATTTTTTTCCCCTTTCATTTCCGAATCCGATATTTTAGTCGCGTCGCTAAGAAAGATGGCTGCTTGTTTACTTAACAAAAAAAATATTTAAAAACGCAAACATAAACAAAGATACAAACCTTGTTTCTTCTCGCGAAACGTTTCAGTGCTGTTAAAATTAAGACGGGTGCTAAAACTAGTGTGATGACTAAATGAACAACTTACTCTTTGATCTTCAAGTAAGTCTTCCAGCCTCGAAAATGTTTTCTTTTAAATTTTAAAGGAAATTCATCAAGACTTCTTTACCTACCCTTGATGACAGCCGCACTCATTGTAGTTTGTAGGGGTAGCCCTTTGGTTTGTAGGGGTAGCCCTTTGGAAATAGTAGCACTCTACTAGTACGCAGCCTTAGCTGCTACTGCTTGTCGGATCACGGCTAAGGGGTCGGTAGATAACGTGTCATAATCACGGCTAATCAACTTTTAAGCGAGCTTTGAAGGTAGAGAATCGATGCATCAATCGTTGACAAACACACCCTGATTCCTGCTGAGGAAGGCTCTTTGCATAAAATATATTCTATTCATGTCACGTCTTTCTATTTCAAGCTTGCACATACCTTGCTCTGCTAATTTATTTATTTGCTTGCCGTTTCGATGTACTCATGGGGGGCCATTTCGGAAACATTTTTGTGTGCCTCCAGCCAAATTTCGATGCCCAAAATATTTACTTTGGTGATATAGAATATTTCTTTTCAAAGGGACA